AAATGTTCGCCGGAAAGTCAAATATTTTAATAAGTAATAATAATCTATAATATATTCTAGACAGATAAACCGTCTCCGCTCAGAATCTTTTTTTTGTATACAATGATATTATAATATCATTGGATTCAAATTTAATTCCATCCATAACAGTAACCCACTTGTAACCTACTGTACAGCAGAGCGATATCCACTTTCCCACTTTTTTTAGTATTGTTTTCTTACCAACAAATTTTAGCTAATTCTTGTGGTGTACAATTTACATTTTTAACACTAGCTTCAGTCATCCCACTTGGAAGAAGTTGTAAATCTTTAATAAGGTCTTTGGTCATGTTTGAAACATTAGTAGTCAGAGAAGTAGCTGGATGACTTATTCTATAAATTACACAATTTTATACTAGTATAACTGAATATTTGTGATATTTAATATTATTCTAAAATTATAATAGATGTTTATACTTTGGAAGGTTAACTTCTAATACTTTAATCGCATATTCTTTGAGATATTTCTGAAATACGGCTGCTAATGAAAGCATTGGATTATGATTACTGAGCTCAGTACATTGTACTAGTGACTTTTTATAAAATAAAAACAAGTCAGCACAATTTGGTAGAACAGTAGCTGTTTGATCATCAATATTTTCTTTTGCCAATGTTATCTTATTGTCACTTACAAAACGCTCAATCAATTCTGACAGATTTCTTTAAGTAAACAAATTTAATTTAATAAATCTCAAACACACATATTTTTATTAATGTTCATATTTTTAAATTTAATACTCACTTATCCACACTGTCAATATAGATATAGAGAAAAGGTTGAAAACAATCACTTATCAAACCATAAAATGGTGATGAATTTAGTTTTGGTTCACTTTTTTGTATTGATGATGACAAATTTTCTGACACATCAGTAATATGTAAATTATCTGAAAACGGCTGAAGAATTTCTTCAGTTTCAGTTTTGTTTATTGGTTGCTTCTATAAGAAAAAAATTTGAATTATTTAAATTATTATTTATCTATTTATAAAATATAAATACTAACAGTTATATAGTTCAAAGATTTTTCATTATTTTGAATAATTGTATTGCCATTAAAAGTTTTTGCCATCAAATTTTCAAATGCAACAGTTTTTTGAATTGCAAACAGTAAAAGCTTGACATCAATTTCGTTTTTTCTTTTAACCATCAGTTTAGACAGCTCATTTCTAGGAATACCAATTATGGTTTAACTATCTAAAAAAAATTGCAAATAACACATTTTACATACTTGGTGATTTTACAAAATTCAACAGCAATTCTTTCAGATAACTCCCATTGAGGAGGAAACATAGCCCTAAATTTTTCTTCGCACTGTAAAAGTTGACGTTTAAACCAAGCATATCGTTGATTGATTTTGTCCAACCAGGCTACATCTTCTGCACTATCAAATAAATGTGTATACTCTGAGAGCTGGAGGTCTATAAACCATTCCAATAATTCGTCTCTGAGAAAWGAAAATTTGTACATTTTATAAACATTCATAATACATGTAATACTTCAATTACTTACTTAACTTTTGGCTCTAGAATCGAAACAACTAAACATGCCTCAGTCATTTGTTTATTAGGTACAAAATTCTTTGCGTTTGGTCCAGAAAATGCTTCACGAAAATCTGCCATGATTTGTGTCGCTAAAGACTTTTGAAGTTGTTTTACCTAATAAAAAATGCAGATAAATTATAAAAATTATTTTACTACAAAGTAATTAAATATTTACTTCAGTAGATAACTGAGCAATGTGTGGTATATCTGTGTAATTCTTAAAATGTTCCATAACATCAGTTACACCTTGTAGCGGCATTACAATTTCTCCGTATTTACGTTTTGTAGTTAAACCTCTGTATACATTTGTGGTTTTAAATTAAATTAACTATATTAATAGATACGTATAATATATACAGATATACAGTGAGGGTTTTGTTAATACTTTTTCCATCATTAATAACTTTTTTTTCAAATTAAAATTTGGGAAATGTTTACAAACTATATCAAAAAGCTACATTTTTTATATTTACAACTGCTTTGGTTCACTTAACTCAAAAAAAGAAACATTTGTGCCATTTAAAAATTTAAGATGGCTAATTCAAGTATAAATTGAACTAATGAAAATTGAATAAGTGAATTGTCTAAAATATTTAATTCTTAAGAAAATGCTTAAGTATAGRCAGGAGTTAGGTAGATGAATATATTATTAGATAAATTAGATTAGACAAAAACCACTAAATGGGAAAAAAGGCTAACATACCTGAGCGACTCAATACCAGAAACAAGCATATGCAAATTATTTAGTGTTGTTATAGAAGTAGTGAGATTCTTTTTGGCATAGTCTAATTGTTTAATATCTAAGGTAATTTCTTTAACGACTTCTTCGCTATGTTCAGCTTTTTGTTTGATCTCTCTAATTTGACTGAAAAGGTGTTTGATATAACGTTGGGCTTCTTGTAGCTCAGCCTTACCATCCTACATAAAAGTTTATACTAATTTGTGTTCAGATACATTTGTATGATTAATTGTACCTTGTTAACTTCAATTTGTCCCCTAATGACCGATCGTATATCATTATCTATGGAGTCTACTTTACATTCTAGTGAATTAATAACATCATCGATATTGGTAAGCGACTGTTCTGTAGGAAACAGATTATTGATGTAGTCTATTGTGTCAAAATCTGGTTTATCTAGTGGATCATCGCTTGGCAGTATCTATAAGAAGGAACAATATTGTTTTAAATATTGAATACAATAATATAATAGGTATAATTTATGAATTTATTGCATCAGTGTACCTCATCTATTGCTTTTTGTACTTCTGTCGAGTACACCAATGTCTCTGATTTGCCTACATCAATTTTTTCATCGTTGGTAGTTGACATAATTTAAATATAAATCACCTATTTACCAATTAAAATTAAAATTTAATAAAAAAAAAATATATTTTAAATTTATATATTAAGCAATACCTTACGGCACAGAGCCACTGAAAAGTCAAACGGCCATGTACTAACAACTAAGTAGAAAGTTCAGTTTTTCATTTTAGTTTTACCAATGATTAATAGTCATCAGTCGACGATTATACATTTATGCCAAAAATTTACAAAAATGTAATTAAGTTATTCTATGATAAAAATTTCATTATCAWATTATATTATCATCTATTATCAAATATCACTTATCATTATCTACATTGATAAAAATCTTGATAACGATATTCATTATTCAATTTTGATGTGTGTTGGCCCTATTTTTTTTTTTTATAGTATATAATATAATTATATTAAAATATTTACCCAATTTTTCATACTACCTTTTTGAAAATGATGTTCTACAAATTGTGGGATGGCAATTATCACCCAACCCTGCCACATTGATTTTTTTCACTTACCTACCTACCATAAAAGAAACAATTATTATTCATTTTTTTTTMTAATGTTATTTTTAATAATTAGAAATAGTTATAATTAATTTTTTGACGATTCATTCRACTCGTTCAAGTAGTGACCAGCCAATATCGAGTATAATTAATTTCTTCCTTGATGTTGCTACAGTAAGATATTTTACTTTTGATATTAATGTATATTTTTACTAGCAAAAAACCATAAATAGATTATGAAACGATTGTTCTTAGAGACAAATATCTCTAAGAATAAATAAGTATTTAAACAATAAACATACTTTTTGGATATGAATTCAAATTAAAAATTTTGACAGGATTTTTGAATTTTGAATTTTGACAAATTCTCATTCCTATTTTAGTATTTTGTAGAAGAAAAAGTGAATAATGAGCGCCATCTATTGTCTTCACTTTCATTATGACTTCATTTCTTATCAAATTTTTTTTTACTGTTAAAAATATTATTTTGAATTTCAAATTTTAAATAAATGATAATTAAAAAATTAAATTACTACGGCACGTAATACGTTTTGAGATTTTCATCTTTTACCTCTATTAATTTCAATGTATTATGCGTGAATACTTAATTTTCTATTTTTTTACTGTGTATTGAATTTTGTAACAGTATAACATGTTTAATTAGTTGCAAGCATAAAACTGTATATGTGTAAATGTTTAATTAATAATAATTATGGCTACTGGTATAGAATGTTTGAAATGGAATACATCAACTTTCCAACCATCGAATGGTAATGTTCTTAAGTTGAAAGTCATATTGTGTAATATTAACTTGTTCTTTTTTTTTTTTTTTAGTTTTAGACCATACAGAATATACTTTAGCGCTGAAACCGTCTCATTGGTTAAATTTGAAGTCAAAGGGCCTCTCTATAAAACTGTCATATTTAGGACTAACACAAAGATTAGCATCTTTAGACAATCTGAATAATTTATATGTTTATGATTGGTCAAAAGCAAATTTAAAAACCTTAAAGTAATATACATAAAAAAAAATAACAATATTCCATTTAAGTTGTYTGGTAATCTTCCATCTACTTACTACAGGTCAAAATATGAACATAATAGTAAACTTACAAGTTTGACAAGCAATACCCTAGGAAATAAAATAGTTACATGTTCAGATAATGGAAAAATTCAAATATGGAATTATAAAGTATTATTTGTCTATATTTACTGAGTATGTTTTTTTTTATTTTTTTAACATAGTATTTTTTAGTTTTCAAGCTGGAAGATGTTAACTGAATTTAGAGGTCATTATCAGTGTGTACGTGATGTTCAGTATTCTATCGATAATAAGTATTTAATATCTTGTTCAAATGATAAAACATTTAAAATATGGGATTGTCATTCTAATAAGTTTGTAGCCAGTAATATGTTTCATCGTAATTGGGTTAACACAGCAAAGTTTTTCAAAGAAGACAAACTCATCATTTCTTGTTCAAGAGATTGTTATGTACAAGTTTTTGATTGTTGTTCTGGAAAATGTGTTGCAAAGTTCAACTTAAGTCCAGGTACAAAAAAAATAATAATAACTGTTCAAAAATTAAAATTAAAATATTTCTGTACATCCATTAGATTTTGCTGAATCACTTTCACTAAAAGAGGAGTTCTCAATAGCAGTGGGTACAAACCAAGGGTCCATACAAATTTTTGATTTGAGAGCTTTAAAAGTTTTACAAAAATACAATGAACACACAAGTCAAGTAAATTGTGTGAAATTTCAATATAAGACACCATGTTTGGTATCTGTTTCAAAAGATAAAAAATTAAATGTAATTAATTTTAAAACTATTTCACAATAGAAAATACAAAACAAATAATAAATAATTGTTTTTTTTTTTTATTTTGAATTTTAGGTGTATGACACAAATGAAGGTAGATTTTTGTATTCAATTGATCACCTCAGTGAAATAAGATCAATGGATATTTCCTTTGATGATAAATTACTTGCAACAACATCATTTCATTTTGACAATGAGGTATATTATACAATAGTTTATTGCAAAAATAATACTTATATTATATATTATTTTTCAGATTACTTTATGGAAAACRGAGACACTATAATTGTAATTGCTTAATATATTTTACGTTCTAATATTTATACGGTACTTAGTTAAATTTTTTGTGTACATTTATGATTTTATTTATTTATTAAACAATTAGATACTTAAGAGTTGTTTTAATTTGCATAACATATAATACAACAATTGTTCAATTATAAATTATTAAACAAAGTTTATCGGGTTAGAAAATAAGAATTAATTTTAAACGATAAACTTAACTTTGAAACTAGTTTATAATTATTTTGTTGTTTTATTTTTTAAACTGCTGATGTCTGTATTCTTTCCTTACTGTAAAAGCTGTTTGAACACTGTTATTAAACACTGTTATTTAACACTGTTATTTAACACTGTTATTTAACACTGTTATTTAACACTGTTATTTAACATTGTTATTTAACACTGTTACGTATTATTAATATAAATAATAACATAAACGTATTATACAGACATTTATTGTTAACAGTATAATTCGTAATGACGTGCATTACAGTTCTACTCGCTAATATCCGATAGACAGTCCCCACCGATCATAATATGATACTTATGATTATTGTTAGTATAAACAGTATACATGTAATATCATATAATATAAATGCCGAATATGCAATAATCTCCAATAGTTTTATCTTAGGTCAAATATATTTTTATAAATACAGTGAAAAACTGAAAACTCTTATTACGTAAATAACATTAAGTTAACTAATAATGATTGGTTTGATTTAAAACCTATTAATTATTCTTTATTTCGAAAACTYTCAATAACGGGAGAGATCACATGGTTCCTTCAGATTCGTTATAGAGAGTTTTCACTGTATACCGATATTGTGTCTTTGTATCTGCAGAATAATAATTAGGTAAATATTATTTCTTATCTCATGTATATATATATAATAATAACAATAATATTATACCTAATTGTTGAGCTGTAATAGTTAAACTGAAAGCTAATAATAAAAACAAAGTAAAAATTTAAAAAAGAAATCAGAAATTGAAAAATTTTTAAAATTGTTCTTTGGATTATCTTTTTTAAAACCTGTGGAAGTTCAAAAACGTTTTTCTGAAGATCTCATGAATATAAAACCAAATAATCAATAGGTACTTTTTGGTTATCATACCCCAATGGTCAGCTGGYCGACTGCGGCGGCGGTCGGGATATACCGATTCCACTATCGTACCCCATTATATTTATCTCAATGCCTCCATCATAAAAATATTTTTTAATTAAAATAATTTTTTTGGTATTAATATTGTATTGGTATACTTGATAATAATTTTTTTTTGTATTGATGTTTTATTAAACTTTATTGGTATTCATATTTTATTATAATTTCTTTGTATTCATATAATTTCATATTATATTATTTTATTAAAATAAATTATATTTTTGGCAATTATTTATTTATTTGTATGGCAATGAAACTTGAMRATATTGAGATAAATATCATGGGGTACGAGAACGGAATCGGTATATCCCGACAGCCGCCACAGTCGGCCGGCTGACTGTTGGGGTACGATAACCGAAAAGTACCAATCAATAATTACATGGTTTTAATATTATTTTAACAAAATGTAATATTTAAATTTTAACCTTCATTGAGTTGATCCACAAACCATGAATAGGCATCACAAATAGAACAGTTAATTAACAAATGATTTGACCTGATTAATATTCATATGCACTCAGCACAAGTATGACAATGGYATTGCAAGTTATGGACTCAATAAATTATCCTAAAATGATTTATTAGATAGATTGAACAAATTTATCAACAGTATGCGAGTTCATGGTAAAATATAATTATTACCATTTCAAAAAGGTAAGCTAGGTACCTATATTGCATAAAATATAAAAAATACAATTTTATAGAAATAAATAATCAACTGTATATTTTAATTCAACTTCAATTTAGATTAATTTTAATTACCTAGGAATAATTGTTAGTAATACTTCTTTGAAAAAATGTATTTATTGACATGGAAGAAACATATGGGCTAAGTTATATTGTAACCAGAGAATTGAACCAAGTTGTATTAGAGAACATATTCAGCTTCTTGAAAGGTATSACCGGAAGTACCAATAATAATATGACTGTTTTGGATTTTAAATACTGCTAAGACTTATTAMATTATTAATAAAATGTAATAAATTAAGTAAAGAACAATTACATTTAATTTCAGTTTACRGTGGTATTTACTTGGAAAACATTCTRATGTAGTTTTCACAGAAAATACCAACACTGAAAATAGCAATTAAGTCAGTTTACTGGATGAAACAGAGTRTTTGATTGGCCAAATCATCAATGAATTGCAATTATCTGTAGCTGACTCCAATGTTTCCAATGATACAACTGTTGAAACTATTCATAATTTTGAAGCTGGCCTGAATTTTGATCTTCTTAATCAATTTTAGGTACCTATTAATTAAAATGTTTTAAAACTATTAACAAATAACAAAAATGAMACATTTCTTAACGGTTTTAGCTAAATACTGGAGAACCACCATTCCAAATATTAGAAGAAGGGTGTGCTGAATATGTTTCGGGCTATATAGCAAATCGTTTCTATAATAAATAACCTTATTTAACTGTTCCACATAATTCACAACCACCAGATATCTGGACAAATCATTTATCTCTTGGCAATTAAAAAATTCTATGTAATAGTMTTTTTAGAGCAGTCTTACAATTGGAAAGAGATTTAAAAACTTTTCAAGGAGACACTTTATATAAAAAACCACAAGTTTYTAAAATTGTATACAAAATAATTGCACCCAAAATTCAGCATTTAAACATACCTGATGAAGTTATTTTATGTTTGATACGAACACGAACATAATATATTCGTCTAAATAATTTGAATAATGAACGATCGAGCAACGTTTAAAAAAGCAAGAAAAAATTATAAAACGAAAATTCACCAACTGACAAAATATACTTATCAAAAATAATATTRTAACAATTTTAATAAATTGTAATTATATTTTGTTCGTTAATCTTTAGTATTTAATTTAAAACCAAAAAAAAAAACCATGAACAAAATATTTATCTGTTATACTGCACTTCAAAAACCACTGAACTGTAACTTTAAGTTATAGTATACAAAACCATGTATAAAATACGCCACCCATGAGAAGCTGAGAACTACGATTATGACGGGGTGAAGAGAGGTGGAACGTCTCGTACGTATCACAAAGTTGCTGACATACCTATCTATTTTAACACAGGATTTGTATAAMTTTAAGGTAAATTTAAAGTTTTTATTTATTCTAAAATCTAATAATAATTTTTAAAAGTTGTCTTCTAAGTTTTTTGAACATAACTTCCATTAGAAGTTTAAKCGACTTTATTTTAATGTACTATTACAAAAAGCATACAAAAACACTCATTTTGCAAAAAAAATTTCAAAAAACCGCTTGGGAGCCAAACTAGAATTATGCATATTTTAAATAATCTATCGTATTTAGGTAAAGATTATTAGAATTGTTGTTAGTTAGATTAGATTGAAACAAAAAACATGAGAGACATAATAATATAATATGCATTATTTAAATTATTTGAATAACTAACTCAATTAATAACAGAATGATAAATTAATTGAAATGAAATAAACATACTTGTGAATATTATCGCATATCATATCCATGTGTGTTAAAAATGGTCTTGTGATAAATATGATATTTTTTACTTTTTCACGAAAATTACTTAGCTTGCCAGTGTTTAAAATAAATAGTTCTTTAACATTGTGTTCTCGTAACAGGCTATWTGTACCATAGACCTATTAACTGAGTAAATTTTAGGTAACGCGCAGTCCATTAGTTAATACGTCTATGATATGTACAGGGCCGCAACTACCGGGGGTGCAGGGGATGCATTGCACCCCAATAGAGAATTTAGAGAGCCCCAAAGGGTCCCTCGATAATTTAAAAATGCTTAAAATTATTATATAAAAAATTAGAAACTAACGACCTATCATCTTTGTATAGTGAAAATGTTACATCTTGTATTATATTTTTAAGTTTACCAGTGACTGTTGCAACAGCCGAACGATCTTTTTCTAAACTTAAATTAATTAAATACTATTTAAGAAACTCCACATCTCAAGACCAACTAACAAACATAAGTATCTTAAATATAGAAAGAGCTCGCTGCTCGCACTGAAGAACTTGATGTAGAAAAACTAATTTTAGACTTTGTCAATCAAAAGAGCAGAAAAAAAATTTTTTAAGTAATTTTAATATTATAAATATGTAATTTTTTTAATAATTTTAAATGTAATTACTATTTTGTATAATAGTGTAAATAAGTAAATATGTGTTATGTACTATGTATAATATGTAAGCATATGAAAAAGCATAATATTTAATTTTTTTCATTATAATTTTAAACGTATATCAACCATTTTTATCTAGTGTAAATTTGTATTTTTTTTAGTTAAAAAGAAATTTAGATGGTGATGGATACTTAACGTTTACATATTATATAAATATATTTTTCATGAAGATATTTCGTAAAATTTTAGAAAGTAAGGGGCTATTATTATTTGGTTTGGCACCCCGGCCCTAATAACCTTAGTTGCGGCACTGTATATGTGTTCGTCCAGAATTATAACCTGCATATTATTTTTTAATTGATTGATCGTAATAATTATACTTCAGCAATTCTTTATTAATGCTGTACCTTAGGACCATCACACTTGTCCAATAAATGAATTAAATCTTTGGCCGCACCCTCTTGAAGTAAACTAATATTTACTCGACTACTGGTTAAATTGTTGGACATGATGAACAATAAAATTAATGAAATATAAATATAAATTTAAAAATAATGTTTAATTAGGTTTGAAAGTATTTGTAAGACATTTGTATTCAATGCGAATCCAATAAAGGAATTTTCACTATAAATTTATTCATTTTCTAATTTTCATTAGTGTGTTAGGTATTTAAATATTAATATTGTGATTTCAAGTTTGTATTTTATATTTAATAATTAAATTTTTTGTTTTCCTAGCAAGGTTAGGTTTATTTAAATTAATAATTTTACCACCTTGTTTCTTAGTGAAAATATTAACGGCATCAAGTCATCAAGGTGGTAATTGATAATATAATCTAAGACCACAGAATA